TAACAGACCTTAACGAAACCCGTTCTCCTATCCAAATTTAGATGTAAATTCTTTATTTCGCCATAATCTGCAAATTTGAATCAAACAACTCAAAATTTTTAAAAAATTGTCAAAGGGCTGTTTTCCTAGTCCATGACCCATATATAACTACCTAAAACCTAACCTAATCCCAATATAGAATGACCCTAATACATATTATAAGAATCTGCCCGCTTTAGACGTCCCCCAAAAATGGCAGTCTAGGTAGGTTAAGTAAAAATGTCGGGAAGGCAATTTTGCAGCTATACCCTAATTTAAGATGAATAAAATATTTAAGAATCTACTCCGCGAGCTAGAATTATGGTATGTCTTTTTTTTTATTTTACGGGAGAGCAATAAATAGTACGTACATATTTTCAGTATTTAACCCGAGTGACCCTTTGATACAGATGCCCGGATTATAAATCGGCTCTAATATTAGCCAATCACATTTGATGTAAGTCATCTGAGTGATCACCAATAAAAATGGCTACAATGCTGCGTCGAACATGATTAATGCTCTGCTTATAAGACGTTTTGTCTGTACTTTGTAGTCGATTTTTATTTTACACGGTTTACTCGCCGTGATCAGATTTATAACGCAAATGTCTGAAAGCTATGATATTGACATAAACACCGGCGTCGACGAGGACGATGCTATGATGGTTGACGAAGGTATTTAAGATTTTATGAATTTGCCTATCAAATTAGTACAGGTCCGAACACTACCTTTTGTAGTTCTTTAAATAAAAAAAAAATAAAATAAAATAAAATTTAGAATTTTTATTAGTATGGCAAGTTTCTATTAGTCGCGTGAAATATTTACGCGAAAGATTAAAATTTAGATCTGTCTTCTGTTGCCACCGAAATTCTTAGAGACACGCATATAATTACATTCGAAGATTTAAATATAAAGATCTTATACGTTTTTATTCTTTATTTGCATACAGATGCCAGGCCGGCCTCGGTCAAACGCAAAGGACGTGGGTTCAGAAGTGAATCAAAAGGTAAATGAAGAAATTTTTACTTAGTTTTATTTAGTTTATGATTATTCATATTAAGATAGGTAATGGAATTATCATTGTATTAAAGATGAATCTAGAGATGGCGTGAGATCTGGTGACAAATACGATCAATTTGAATCTACTACTGACGAGGATGCAGCCGCTGGACGTGCCCAAAGATGTAATTAATTAATTAAATTTGATGCGTTCAGTATTTATATGAGATAATCTCATTATTTTTAAATTATCATTCATAAATATATTCAGCCGTTGAAGGGTGGATTGTTTTGGTAGTCGGTCTTCATGAAGAATCTACGGAGGACGAGATCACTGATAAATTTGCAGATTATGGCGAAATAAAGAATTTACATCTAAATTTGGATAGGAGAACGGGTTTCGTTAAGGTCTGTTA